CGGCGGACGAAGTAAACTTCTCTTTTTCTTCTTCTCTCTCTGTTTTTTTTTTTGCATACCTTTTTTTTTATAATAATAATTTAATAATATATTTTTTTAATTAATTAATAATAATTTTTAAAAAAATTTTAATTTAGAATTATATCCTAAGTTAGATTTAATAATCATTTTTTACTAATTTATTTACCTCTAAATATTTTTTTTTTAAATTTCTATTAACCCAAATTAACTATTAAAATTTAAATTGGGATGTTACACATACTACCACAACTTGCATCAAATATAGTTTCACAATATATCAAGATTTTCAAATAAGTCTTTTCACATATAATTAATTAATCAAGTAAATGTACAAGCTAAATTTTTTTTTATTACCTTAAACCTTTGAGAGGTCAAAGGTTACCCCTAAATGATAACTTTCTTTTCAAGCTAAAATCAAACTCACTAGTACTTCATGAGGTTAATTTACAATTAATATTAACACCCATTACTAATAATTATTAAAACCACTACTTTTGACATTTAATTTCATACTTTAATAATTAAATTTATTAACTACAAGATTAATCTCACATTCAATGAGTTCATTAGCTTTTATTAACTTTATTTAGCTTTTAACAATTTAATTACTCATTAATACATCATCTAACAACCAAAAATTATCATCAATGTCATGAATTACTCATTTCTAACTCTCATATTTAAACATTTTAATAACCTAAAACTCTTAACTCTTGAGTTTAACCACCATATTAGCTTCCATTAGTTCTAACCAACACCAACACAATCCTTAATCAATATTAATGGCAACCACCTATCTCAAGCACTATCATTTTATGAAACTTTAAGGCATAATTTTGTCCCTAATAATGAGCTCAAGCTCAAAGATACTCAAACTCATCAAAACTAGATTTAAACAACTCAAACAACTCCATTAGTTCCATTTAGACTAATGGGTTCGGACTTATGGCCTTAAGTCTGAAAATCATCATCTTTTAACCTCAAATCTCACTTTAAAAACGTGTAGAAAGAAGAAGAAGAATAGATAATAAAGGCATATTTGGGTAAAATCAAGCTCCAATCACCTTTAAAATGCTCAAAAATTAATGCTCTAGTAGAACAATCACTCTTTTTGTTGCCCTCCCTCTGTTTTAGGCTAATTTCTCCTTATTTTTGATGTTTTTGCTTTTTTAAAAAAGTTGGTTCTGGAAATTATGTTACAACATAAATTTTTATGCTGTAACATAATGCTCAGTGGGTAAAAATATAATTTTTTTTCTATAATTTAAGTCTGGATGATCCAATTTACTTCTGAACCCAATTCAAAGATTAAAGGCAAACTCAATAGTCATTTCTAACTATCATCAAACCCATTTATACTTAAATTTACATATTTATCCTTTATTTAGCTTAATTAATCAAGAGAAAAAAATTTTGGGATGTTATAATAACCCAACAATTAGAGTTTTAATTATATGTATAAATGTGTGGGTGTATATTTGTTGTTTGGAATGTGCTTGACATAGTCAAGTGACCTACATAACAACTTTGGCTTTGGGTTTGGTGTTAAAAGTGTTATTACTTGGAAAAGATTGCGTTTTGACCTTTAATGGGTTTTCCTGGATAAAATCCTTATATGGAAGAATTTTTGTACCAAACTAAAAACATTAGTTAAATTATTTCATAAATTTGAGTAGGCACCTAAATTACTTAACTAAATATTTGTAGAGAAAGTTATGCTCAATCAAAATCTGCTATCACTATTCATGCTATCATTTTGTTGATGCAACACTATACATTATGGCATATGTTGCATATGCTTTGGCACACATCACAGAGGGTGGATCTCCCGGGCATATGACACAAACTTTTTTGGAATTGTTGCTATTAAGTTTTTAACTTATGAAATAGTGTCTTTGGATTCTTTTACCCTAATAAATTTATCTTTAGACAATTTAGTTCTTTGAAAACCATACTTCACTTTTAATTATTTTTTTACCATTTTATTGAATTTAGATACTTATTTTTAATGGGATCCAATGAGACACACTTTATTTAACTTAGTTTTCTATCTGTTCTAACGAGCTAGCCATATTGGCTCCCAATAATTAAACATTCAAGCAGAAGTTTTTGGATTGATAAACTTAAATTTTAAATTTAAATTTAAAATTTTACATTTTAAATCTATGTTTTGAAAATTTTTTGTTTGGGAGGTTTAAATAACAAATGTTATTAATAGCATTCCAAAGATGCATATGAAAATTTGAAATAATAAAAATTTTAAATTATGAAGAACTTAATATAAAATTTGAATTTAGACTTAATAAATTTTTAAATACTTAAATAAGAGATTTGACCTAAATTTAACTTGGCATACATGTATTCAAGCGTGGCGTGGGATCAAGTTGGATAAAACAGGAAATGAATCTGACATATACACAAGGTGATGAAGCTCATTGAATTCAATTCATATATAAATTCAAATGAGCTTTAGCTTTGCATCAAACAACTTCTAGATTAGCATGGCCCACAAAAATGACACACACATAAATCGAAAAAAATATGTGTTCCTTATGCATTCTCTTGTCCAAGGGCAGGTTCCACATGGCCTTCGCTTTAAGGAAGCAATTAAAAGCCAAGTTTGATTATAGAAAACTAGTGGAAAGCACTCATAAAGTGCCACGTGCCCTTTACTATGTAACTCATAATTATTGGCACTCGTAGTGGCCCCACAAACATGAATTCTCTGTGGCATCACCGTGTTGCATGGTACGATCAAAGAGAGGGATATGAACAGCATGAATGACATTCAGGCTTGAATTTGTCGTAACATGAAATCCTCGCTGTAAATATTATTTTATAAAAATATGTATACATTCCTTCCGTTTATATCAGTTCAATAAAATAATTATTTATTTTAAATTAATTTTATTTTTTATATTTATTTCTATTCAATAAGGTATGTTATTTTAAAATAAATATAAAGTTATTTACTCCTTTTATTTTTATATATAAAATATTTTTAATTAAATTTTATATAATAATAAATGTTTGTTATTTGGTTACCTAAAAGAACAATGATTTTTAAATGATTTATTTTATTTTTTAAGATAAAGATAAAATTATTTAATTACTCAAAAATATTATTATCATCCCTTATATTTAAGTATAAAATAAAATTTTAAAAAATACTTTATATGTAAGGATGAAGGGAGTATTCAATAGGGACACTTTTTTTTTAAAAAAAAGTGATGATTACTTCTAAAAAAATTAAAATTATCTTACATTTTTAAACATTTAATCTCTCAAAAAATATCTTGCATTCAAAATGGAGTATTATTATATTATTAAAAGTTGAACATTGATTTATTAAATTTATATAAAATTAAGACTCAACTTTTTGCAAAAACACATATTTCTTCCGTTTAAAAATAAAAAGTATTTTTAAAAAAATTATATGTTTAAAAATATAAGGTATTTTTAATTTTTTAAAGTGTCATTATTGCTTTTTTTTAAAAAATGTTCCTATTAATAATGACTTTATATTTATTGTAAGGTATTTAGTAGAGATAAATATAAAAAGATAAAGTTAATTTAAAAATAAATAATTATCATATTTAATATAAAAATTAATTAAAAATATTTTATATTTTTTAATGGAGGGAGTAGATATTTTATTAGAGAATATCTAATAAGCTTTTAATATAATAAATTATTGTGAGATGACGTGGTATGTCATTCTTTCAAATGTATATAAAGTCAAAAGACCTATATACTATGAATGAGTCTCGTCACGTGCTGTCTTTATCCTTATTTGTTTCTAACTGCATCGCATCATAACGTACAGTGCATTCAAATATAGATAGAACTTAAATAATTGGCTGAGCATATACCACCAAACAAATTGTACCAATCTTTTATTATGAATAGGGAAAATATACAAGTTCAAAGCAAGGGGCCATGAATATAGTTAAAGATGTTGAAGTGTCGATGGGTTAAAATTGATATGAAAAAATTTACTTGGAATAACGATAAGCTTAAAAAAAAAATATCTTTGTCCTAATTTACAAAACCATTTTAAACAAAATCACACATATCAACATAACTTATTAAATAATTTTTTTATTTTAAATTATAAGATATTTTAGACAAAATCTCATATTTCAATAAACCTAATTAAATACACTTAATTAACAATCTTTTTTTTTTTATAAATTTTAAAAAATATCTTTCATTTAATATAATGAAGAGAGAAGGGACGAAAATTAATTATAAAGAAATAAATGATGATATTAAAATAAGCCTATTTAATAAAATATTAATCTTTTTAAAGTGTTTTATATTTTAGGATGTCGAATTTACTCTAAAAATATTTTATAATTTAAGACGGAGGAAGTACATTTTATTACAACCATAAATTTGTCAAAACAAAAACAAAAATTCCTAAAAATGCATTCTCATTTAATACTCAATTTGTGAAATAATATTAAAAAAAAGAATATAATATGAAAAACAATACTGAAAAAAGTATCACTACTATGAAATCTCATTTTCATCAATATATTTTATATTTTAAAATATTAAATAATTTTAAAAAATATTTTATAATTTAATATGGAGGTAATATATAATAATAAAATAACTTTTAAATTCAAACATTAAAGTTTTAAGTGAAGATACGATATGATTCTCTTTTCTCTGCAATTATAGACCTATCCACTAGAGCTATCCCCACAAACTTTTTTTAATTTGTTTTAATATATATAGTTTGTATCAATTATTCCCATAATTTATACATATTATTTATTGCCCCCGGTAGTTGATAATTTCTTTTACTTTTTTTATACATACATACATACATATATATATATATATATATATATTATATATTACTAACTTTGTTTTTGCTCTTTAGCTTCTTGTATAGATGTAGTTTGGATATATAATTATATCGTAGAAATCATACATTTTGGAACTCACAAATGGTCATTATTCATTATTTGAATGGAAAAACACGAAAATCACAACATAATGGATTTTAGCTGGACCTTGCAAGAATTACACATATGAATCCCAACAATGAAAAAACTAGATTAAACAACGCAACGAAGAAAGACACATCATCAAAAGTCACTGCTAACAAACAACAATAATCAAGCTTCATGCAGATCAATAATACTGAATGAATCAAATCAAAATTAGAGGTAGCTAGCATGTGCATGCAGCGTCATACGTCGTCGTTTCAGCCCAGGTAGAGGTGGACCTTAAGCGCCAGCAAGAAAACGCAGATGAAGGCAAAGTAAAGCAGAGAGTGAATCAGTATGGCGGCGCCGCTCGTCTGAAAGTTGCCGAACTCGACGCACCGTGACCGGCCGGGAAGCTGAAACAGCAGTCCCGGCGTCAACAGGATGAACAGCACCATGGATACAAACACTGGGCCCCAGTCCGACATCCTTAAAATTCTATATTATATTCCTTGTATTCACTTGATTTCACTGAGATTGTAGCTAGAAGTTGGCTCGTTATATACACATAAGGGAACACATCACCGGCCACCTTGCTCCGGCAGCCGCCACGTGATGGATTCAGAATAACTTGCAGCTCAATTATGTGACGATGAAGCAAGGAATTATTGCTCCTCGCTACTTGTTATCCTCTCTCAGGAAATTATACCATGTTTAAACATGCAAGTTTTGGATTTTGCCTGTAAAACGCTCGCCCTTGTTCGGTAATAAATTAATCATATCACATGGTTGATCAGGTTCACAGTATTTATATATATATATATATATATACTTTCTTTGTTTAGAATTATAGGGTACTCACTGTTGTGTTGTCTCAAGTCATTCTTGAATATTTAACACACACACACACACACACACTGTCTCAATTCAAAATATTATTAATTATACCATTAATTAAGGGTATTTTTGGGGAAATTGTATTTATCATACTGTGAAAGACTTAACTGCCTTATAATTTTTTAATGTGATACTTAAAAAAATCCCTCTGAATTTACGTACATGATATTTTTTATAAGCTTTATTTAGTCTAAAATATAGGACATTAAGTAGGATATATATAAATATTTTTTTTATTATACCAATACTTTGTTATATTTCACTCATGTAATTAAAGATGAATATTTTGAATAAGTCAAATATTATATTTAATTCACTTAAAAGTACAGTTGGGAATTTGTGTGAAAATATTTTAAAAAAAATATCAAGATTTTAATCAATTCTTTTAATAATATAAAGTAATTAATAATGACTTATATTCTAATTGAAGAAAATAACCTATAAAATTAAACTGAAAGAAGGAATTGTATATATGCATACACCCTCACGCGCCACTTCTGATTCTTTTGTTCTATGCCTTGCGTATAAGGATAGACAGTACTCATAAATATCACCTGCTTGAAAAATAGCCTAATTATATGCTCTTAACCTTTAAAAATGTGAGGCAATGTTAATTGAATCTCATCTGAATATACTAATTAATTATCTTCAAATTAACACTATCACTTTATATTTACTCTTTTTTTATGGTATTTCACTTAAAAATAAATACAAATTGATTATATTTATTAAGGGCATCTTTAAAAAAATACATTAATTACAACTTAAAATATTAAAAATATCTCATATTTTTAAACATTCAAGCTAGTTTAATTCATTTAATGAGTTTAATTTTATTAGATTAGATAGTAGCGTGTAATAAATGAAAACAAAAAATTAACTTTTTAATCCTTCAATTTTAACTCAGTTATAATTCAGTTCCTTAATTATAACTCACTTATAATTCAATCCTATAATTTTTTTTATTTTTTTACATAACTTAAATCTCACATCAAAGAGAAAGAGAAAGATATTTTAAAATATTATATAAACATTTCTTTTATTTTTCTTATTTGATAAATATAATTTTTTAAAATAATTGAAAAATAAGGATTAAATTATGAGTAAATTAAAAATTAAAGAATTGAATTATAGTGAATTATAAATAAAGAATTGAATTACAACGAGTTATAAATGAAGGGTTGAATTATCAGTAGGTTAAAAATTTAAAATTAAAAGTTAATTTTTTTTCAAATGAAATGATGACTAGATGATGAGAACAGGAAAATATAATTGTGCAAAAAGCGTTGGAATAAATTTTTGGATTCTCTTAACTTAGTGAGCCCACAAAGCAAGCAGAGATTAATCGAACGTTGAAAGTTGAAACCAAACAAACTGTACCGCTTTTTTTTTTTTTTTGTTGGGGTCGCCTAACGTATAAATATGGTGAGAGAGACTAGAAAACGACAGCACCGTATGGGACAAGGCTTGCTTGCGCAGTCGTCCAAGGCTGTGTTTGGTTTAAGAAAAAAGGATGAAAGGGAGAGGAGGGTGGGGAGGATGGATTCCCCTACTTTTGAAGGAGGTAATATATTATTTTATATTTTTTAATTTTAAATTAAGTCCCTATAATTTATTTTATTTTAATTAAATTTTTATAATTTATTATGTTATATTTATTAATCTTTAAAAATTAAAATATTTGAATTTTTTTTTGGAAAGTGAAATGAGAAATTTTTATATTTTTATTAAAATATTAAGTTATAATTAATTGTATAATCTTTATAACTCAAAATTTATATAATTACATTATATATTTTAAATAATAAATATGTATATCTCTATATATATATATGTAGATTTTTCATAAAAAAATAATAAAAATGTAAACATTGTATTAAGTTAATTTTTTTCAAAAATATTAAAATAACTTTTTATAAAATTAAAAAGCACTCACTCCATTCAATATTATAAGATATTTTTTTGGACAATAAAAATATTATAAGACATTATTAATTATATCACACCCTATAATAAATTAGTTAGTTGTTTTAAAGTTATACACTTTTTTCCATATTTATGTTTTAAAGAACATAAATGCCTTACCTTATATTTTTAAATGAAGGTAATATTTTTTTTTGAGAAAGCTAATCATTCATCAATAATTTTAGTGTTCGGGGATTAATACATCTAATAGATTGAATTGTAGGTCTCTATTTAAAAAAAATAAACCACAGTAATTTTAATTTAAAATTGAAAAAAATTATAAAAACTTGCAAATTAATTTTTTTAAATAGATATTAATGTTGTGTGGGCCCTTAAACGGAACAAAAACGTGAGAGTTTGGGTTAAATAGCGGCCCAGTGGGGTTAGTCAAAAGAAAAAACAATCAAAATCCATCAACGCGGGCTGGAGTCGCCGTTCAGCGTATCATTCGGAATACGGTTCCTTCCTGAAGCTGACGCACTTTCCATTCTTGTCCTTCTCAAGTCTCGACAATTTGCCCGTACTTTTCACACCCTTCATCTTCTGTGGCAAAGCCCACAATTTTTTGATTTTATTTATAAATTATTTTTAATAAAAAAAATAAAATCTTAATAAATTTTAACTTTATTTCTATTGAATGTATTTGATAACTTTATCAGCATTTAATAAAGGAAAAAAGAATAAAATGGACACAAAATTCATAAAGATGTCATGTAAATAGAACTAACAAAAATATTTTCTCTATTTACACACACAAAAAGATAGTTGTGCACTTTGTCTAATTTAAGCACCTTTATTAATTGGATATGACATGAATCAAGCTCTAATCTTATATCTATTTTTTTAAAAAATACAGTGAAAATAAAATAAAAAGAATATTATATAGATAATCAAACAAGGACCGTCATAATCTTGACATGATAATGGATAGAAATTAAGAGGAGGAAGGGAAAAGGATAAGAAGGAAAGAAGATATCAAATCTAAATCATCCAAAATTTGATTTATTGGTCAAAAAAAAGAAGAAAAAGAGAGAAAAGGATAAAGAAAAAAAGGGGAGGAGGAAAGGGCCCTTAAAAATATATAATGAAGAAAGAAAAAGAAAGAGGTGGCTATCATTTGAATTTGAAGACTAAAAACCTGCGGATGTTTACATTTCTTTTTTTTTAATTTTTTTTTGACATTTCTATACTTCTGAACTCTCGTGTTTTTTTCCCAACAATTTTGCTTCGATAAGTAATCAAATTATTATTAAATTATTAATTATTAATTATTAATTATCCGTACTCCGTAGCACCCGAGCCTTGACTCCAGATCCCTTCAGCCACTTTTTTTTTTTGAAAAAAATCTGATACACGTGATCTTTTATCTAGATATATATATATATATATATATATGCGATAATAATATATTGCCTCGGTACTTATCTTTGTCAAATTCCCACTATTTTACATCCATCCAAATAAAAAAATAGAAAAGAAAGCAACCACGTCCACCATTGGTTTCTGACTTAAGGCGTGGCCATGGAATGATCCCATAATATCTCGCACGTGGCACGCTGTGATTGGCTTAGAAAAGGGCTGCAGAAAAGGGGATCACACAGTGGAACCGACTCCACTGTCACCTGGTCTTTAATATCCATCCATACGCAAATCCGCAGGATTCCTTCGACAATGTCGTGGCGGGTGTGACAATGAATTTACAAAACTACCCCTGCCATTTGCGAGGTCAATGTCAATCGCAACGTCCGCCACCAACTACCAAACAACAAAACGAAGTAACATGCACATTCCTTCAAGGCTTCACACATATAGCCTTCATTTCACACACACAACACTTACACTTTCTTTGGTACGTTGTGTAGACTTTGACTAACGAACTTGGTGATACTACTTGCTTAAATCCTGACGTTGCCCAAATAAATAGACCTTATTGCAAGCTGAATACGTCAATAGAAGATATTTAGATGTAGCGACGGAGCCACAAAATTTAATTAGGAGGATTGGGATAACAAAATATATATGATATTAAGTCTATATGTATATATCTCTCTCTCTAACATGATAATGATATATCAGCACAGTAATGATCACACCAATAAATATATAAACATAATAATGATGTTCCATAGTTATAAAATCTTTATATCGATGAAATTAGATTACATCAAAATAAAAATCATTCATATAATAAATTTTAATAGTCTGGTTATTAGAGAAAAAAGTTAAGCTATCTTAATTATATTTTCTTAACTTTTTGGATGAGTAATTTTATGACAAATATCAAGTACATAACATTTACTCCTTCCATTAAAAAATATAAAGTATTTTTTAAGAAATTAAATATTTAAAAATATAAAATATTTTTAGTCTTTTGAAGTATAATCATCATCTTTTTTTTAAGTGCTCCTATTGATAATGACTTTATATTTATTGTAGGGTATTTAATAGGGATAAATATAAAAAGATAGGGTTAGTTTAAAAGTAGATAAATACTTTATTGAGGAAAAGATTTGATTAAAAATATCTTATATTTTTAGACGGAGGAGTAATATATTTGGGATTTTTGTTGTAATGGTTGATAGAGTTTGTTAGGAATAATTATTATAATTTCTTTCATCAAATGTAAAATAAAAATAAAAATAAAAATAAAATAACATCAATGTTTTAAAAATGTAGTATCATCTAGTTGAAAATAAGTAGACTCTATAATAGCAATATATTCAAAAACTAAAATAGTTGTGTTATAGATGTATAAAAGATTATATATAGAATCAAAATGAGAAATTCATTTAGTATCTTCAAGTTCATGTAAAGTGCTAACTT